TAGAAGACAGTCTCTCTCTCCTTTTTTAAAATTATTTTAGCCACTCTGCACTACATGCTCAGTCTTAAGTTTCTTGACCAGGAATCAAACCCAGGCCCCCTCCAGTGGAAGCACAGAGTCCTAACCAATGAACCTCCAGGGAATTCCCCAATACGGTCTCTCTTCACGAGAGACCGCACATGGTCACCCAGCCCTTTCCCGACTCTGGCCTAACACAAGCTTCTCCCCAGGAAATCCACTGTTGTGAACCTGCAGCACACCAATCATCTGCCCCTTTGCTGAGAAGAGTATCTTTAGAAGCCATGTGAGGATATAAGAATACATAAAGGTGTACCTAAGACTCTTGGGACCTTCTCCCTCATTCACCCAGAAATGCCCATGAGCTGTAGTGAAAAAGTTACTGATGCAGCAGCAAGTCTCTGTTCTTGGCCTTTGAGATCTACTGTAAATTGTAGCTAATGGATTAAAAAACACTGTTCTAATAGAAACCATTCCTCATCACTTAACTTCCTATTTATTACTATCATCACTGGTCCTCCTTTTAAAATGCCTCCCCCCTTTTCAAAAACAAATGTCAATTAGGCTTTCCCATCTCTGCCTCTTGGATGTCCCCTAACCAGTTAAGAGCCCTCTTTTTCTTATCAGAGCTCTATTCAAGTATCCATGAAATACTTTTAGATACTCTTTGCAACACACAGTTATTATTAAAGTACATATGTATAAGGAAAGGCTGTTAATGGGTATGAGATTTATTTTGGGAGTGACGAAAATGTTCTGGAATTAAATAATGGTGAAGCTGCATAATTCCGTGACTATACTAAAAACCACTGAATCATATACATTTTAAAATGGTGAATTTTATGTTAAGTGAATTATCTTTTTTTTTTTAAGGTAAGATTATCCACCAGTATCCCCATACTCACATCTGGCACTGGGGCGAAAACATCTTAATTTTTAAGAAACACCTTTTCTCACATACTTCTTTGGAGAACATGGTCAATTACCTTCCTCAAACATTTAAGTGCCTATCATAGACAGGCACCATGATAGCTGCCACAGAAAACAGTTGTCAGACCATCACAGAGCCTATGCTGCTGGAGCCGAAGAGGGGAAGATAACCAGCTATTTAACTATCACTGTGCCAAGAGCTAGGAAGAAAAAGTATAAAGATAAGAATGACCTAATCAGAGTGGGAAATGTGGGGGTGGGCAGGGTCCCCAAAAACACATCTCTAGGAGACACATGTAAGCTTCAGCCCATATCAGGTAGTTAACAACTAATTTGGACTGACAAGCAGTACAACAAAACCCCTGTTTCACAGGGGTTTTGAGGCCATGCAATTGATACCTGGCTCCCATCCACCATAGGAGACTCACCTGTTCTTGAGGTAAAGCAACCCTGAATTTATGTATGTGTATGTTTCACCCACTGACAGTGTTATGATAAGGTTTTAGTGTCCTCACAAATGTTTGTGTTTATTATTCATGTAATCAGGGGCAAATACAAAAAGAAAATTAAGTGATGCTGAAAAACTGCATACATTCAAGTCTCTGATTATTAATAATTGCACAGAATAGCACAGACAGGGCTTATACAAGCTCAAAAGATATAGAAGCTTCAATTTTTGGCTCAAAAGCATTATGAATAAGAACCTAAATCAACTATTTATTCGAGACAGTAAGCTCACATCTTTAACCGGAGATCAGAGGTCAGCTAACTATGGCCTGTGGGTCAAGTCTAGCCAATCCACTGTTTTCATAAATAAGTTTTACTGGAACAAAGCCATGCCCATTTGTTTTTACACTGAATAGCTGCTTTCCCAACACAACTGCTGAACTCAATAGTGTTAAGAGAAACCTTATCGCCAATAAGGTCTAAAATCCTTACTACTTGGCCCTTTATGGGGAAAAAAAAAGGCCAACTTGTACTGGATGAAAGTAGCCCACACTGATTCAGAACAAAAACATCTTTTTATACATCCTTTAGGAATTAAAGGATGTTCCAATGGATAAGCAACAGACTTGAAATGCAAAGAACTCTACTTCATTAGTCAATCCACTACAGAGTTCTTGATAAATCATAATTACTCTATATTTTATGTACCAGTAAAATTCAGAGCAGTTAGGTCAGAGTTTTCCATAAGTGCTCAGGACTGCTGAAAGCAGGTCTGGGAGAGGTTTTTGTATTAATTATATATTCCTGCACAATAAATTACCCCCAAATAAGTATCTTAAACATTATCTCACCAAGTTTTCTGTGGGTCAGGAATTCAGGGTTGGCTGGGGCTGCCATCATCTGAAACTTAACTGTAGTTGGATGATCTTCCAAGGAGGCCTGGTTACATACTTGGTAAACTGGTACAAGAGACATCAGATCCTCTCCACAAGACCTCCTGAGTGTCCTCATAACCTAGCCAGCTTCCCCGCCCCACCCCCGAGTCAATAATCCATGACAAAGAGATAGGAAAACACAACATTCTCCTTATGACTTTGCTTCGAAAGTAGATCGTGTAACTTCCACACCATATTCTATTCTTTATAGAACTAAATAAGGGTCTCTAAGTACAACACATATTCAAGAAAATCAAAGTTAGGCCTCATTTTTAAAGGAAAAGGTGTTAAAGAATCTTCATATATAAACATCACTTCAGGGTTTCAAATGAGTAAATAGCTTCAACAACATAACCTACAAGGTTCGGCTGACTCAAGAATCTGTGCTTAACCATTATCATACCATGTATTTTGTTCTATTTGTCATAGGAGAGAGACTGCATCACTATTTGTTAACAATCACCAAAGAAAAAAGTAAGCCAACAGAAGAAAGGCAAAGCACTTCAGTTTTTCACATCTGACACAGTAACAATGATGGGAGGCAGTTATACATTTGCTTTAGTTTTAGTTCTGTTTTGTTTTCCTGCAAAGAGAAGGAAAATTATGGAGACTAGATCATGAACACATCAAAAATAATTGCAAAGCTGTACCAGAACAGATAAGCATTTATGATTCAGTGCCACATAAAAAAATTTTCTCAGATACAAACAAAAATAACAGAAACTGAAATTTAGATATATATTCACAATTGGGAGGAGTGGGGTTGTGCTTAGGAGGGTGTATTATATCACGATTGCAACAGATGTGTATCAGAGTAACTTCTGGAACAAGAAACATATATAGTAGGGGAAAAAAGTTATTTGTTACAATTCAACTTATTTTGAAAATAAATGTCTTTGTAGATCCATGAACACTTGACCAAATTCACCTGTTAATACTGTTTCAATACAGGAAGCAAGAAGACCAAGGAAGCAAAACTTTCTCATTGAGGGCAGAGAAATAACAGTCATCCTGATTTCCTCAACAAAAAGCTCAAAAATGGTCCTGAATCAGACAATTAAATCACTTTAAATTCATTCAAAATTCACTCTGCCAGGTTGAACAGTATTCCCCACCAAAATTTAGATCCTCCCAGAATCTGTGAATGTGGCCTTATTTAAATATAGGGTCCTTGTAGATATAACCAAATTAAGATGAGGTCATCCTGGATTAGAGTGGACCATAATTCAATGACCAACATCCTCATAAGAGGGAACTTGGCAACACAGATACATGGAGAATACCAGGTGACAAAAAAAGCCAGATACTGGAGGGACCTGTCTACCTGTCAAGGAACACCAAGGATTGCCAGCAACAAGCAAAAGCTAGGAAAGAACATGGAACAGTCTTTGTCTAAGGCCCCAAGAAAGAATGAATCCTGCTGACACCTTGATTTCAGCTATCTAGACTCCAGAATGCCAAAAAAAATTTCTGTTGTTCTAAATTACCAAGTTAGTAGTCATTTACTATGGCAGCCAGAGGAATTTAAGTAATCTCACCATTTTCAGTATTAGAAATATTTATTCACAAACTCAGAACAATAGGAGATAGCATCTCCATTTAATGCCTTGCCCTTTTTGGGTACTGTCACAGGGATGAATTTGACTTAAGCCCCCACTGGACTACGCGTACTGCCATCAGCCAGAGGGCTACTGAGGCACTCCCAAAGGCCAGCAGAACACACGCACAGAGCATGAAGTCAGCTCGCCTCAGCTGACAGCCAAAAGCCCTTAAAAAAAACAAAAAAAACCCTATGTTTCTGTTGAAGTCCTCCTGCTGGACCAGAAGTTTAACAAATAACTACAGGTTTCAAGAAGTTATTCTTTCAGATTTAAAGTCCTCTTATCTAGATAAGCAAAAAGGACCTACTATACAGCACAGGGAGCTCTGTTCAATATTCTGTAATAACCTAAATGGAAAAAGAATTTTTAAAAAAAGATACATGTATAATTGAATAATTTTGCTGTACACATGAAACTAACACTGTTCATCAACTATGCTCCAATATAAAATAATTTGTTTAAGAAAATAAAGTCCTCTTATCATGATTATTGCATCATAGTGATGGCAGTTTTTCTAACAGTAACCATTGGTAAGCTGTGGGTTACCATTTCACTTCTTATTACTTCTGAGTTTCCCAAAACATGTTTCCTTTAGGCTCACATTTAAATTATTTTAATCTCAAGTCAGTGCAAATATGCATGGCTGATTTGACCTATCAGTCTGACAGAAAGACACACTGTCAAGGTTATTTTCAGAATTGCTAAACATTTTTCTATTTTATCATCCCTTTATCTTTAGCACACACTAACATATATTACACAGGATAAAAGATGAACTTCTGCCCCATATATTTCCCATCAAATTGTGCTACAACATTCCTACAACTATTACTTGGAACACTGAAGAAAACTGGATTCAGATTCTCCAAAAATGATGTTCCTTTGTTAATCACTCCTGATTAAAGCTTAAGCCAGTACAACTTAATACATTTCCAATAAGTGAATATTCGTAGTTACTTGAGCAACTGGCAACATATAAGAAAGAAAATACTGACCGCAAAGTCACCTTCAAGGATTATTTTTCTAGAAAAACCTGGCTCTCTCCATATGAAAAGTGGCATTGACCTACCTTGTTTTCGAACATCTTCTACAGCAGCTACAAGCTCCTCCTTGAGAAACTGACTCTCCTTTGCAATTTTATCCCCCTTCTCCAAGAAATTCTCAGTTGCTTGTTCAACAGATGCAGCCAAAACATGGGCCTTCTTAGAACGACCTCTCTTCTTATTAGAGGGCCCCTTGCTATTGGTGTTTACCAAGGTTGTAACCTAAATGTTTCAATTTTGAAAATTAAACTGTAGCCAACCAAAATTAAAAGAAAGGAAAAAAAAAAAAACCCACAAAGAGTAACATCTTTACAGATAGCAAGAATAAATTACTCATACTAAAATGAAACATCACATTTATGACAGTCTAGTAAGTATTAACAAATAAGATAAAATTCTCTCCATATTTAAAATATTCAGCAATGATACTCCATATTTAGTTTCCAAAATAATTTAGCTATCTCAATATGTAAGTTAAGAAACATAATGAATATTTTAATTTCTCAAACATGATCATTAGGCTTTTAAGCTTCATTTTACAGATTAAAAACTAACAACAAACAAATTACATGTCTCTATTATGTCATCAAGAAGTTTAGAAAGAGGTTAACAATGAATTTTGGAGCCCCAAAAAATAATTTATTTATATTTTAAAATATTTTATATTTATACTTAAAATATCTTTATTTATATTTAAAATATTTATTTTCTTGAGTTCCAAAATCACTGCAGATGGTGACTGCAATCATGCCACTACCTCTCATTTTCGTGCTCAAGTACAATGTCTGTCTCCCTCACACTCAGACACAGACACATACATGTGCCAAAATGTGCCAAAACACTACACGTGCACAGCAAATTGCTAACAGTTTAATGAAATGTCATCACATTGTGATATCTGTATTTGTAACAGAACATACCAAACCTACGCTCTCAAATTAAACAATCTTCTAACTGATCCTGGACAACAAAAGGTGCATTAAGCGAGATGAACAGACTTAATAGTCAAGGTTCCACATCCTATCTTTCTTAGAAATACTTTTAAGTATTAAGTGGTATGCACTGCATACCACTAGCCCCTATTACTGCCAATCAAAACTGAAGAAAATGGCAGCAAATATATTTCTAAAAGGCTAAATGAATCCACACATAAATATTTAATTATTAGTGGCGCCAAACTGTCTCATTACCATCAGCCTAAACTCAACGATTCAAATTAAGACTTGGAACTAAACAACTTTGCCCTGTGTTTATTACCCAGGTCATGGAACCATGGAATGTTATGGAATCATGTTACAACAACTATGTATGTGTTTGCAGATTCTTACCTGGGTAACAAGAGGCTCTAACAGTCTTTCAACTGCCAGAGTCCTGATCTCTAGACTTTTGGGGTCCCATTTGAAGTTTATGTTGCCTGTGTGGACAGCAGTCATTTCTGAAAGAGAAACAGCCAGTCAAGCAAATATCAAACACACATATGAAACACAAAAAATCTTCTCCTACTCAAGGACTTTTTTACACCAGGAAAGTTACAATCACCACAAGATGAAAGGAATTCTTACCAGCCTGCACATGAGGGCCCAGTAACTCTTAAAACCCCTTACACATAAGATTCTGAATTTACAAACATTATGGGTACTACAAGAGGGCATTCCCAATCATGAGCTTTTCCCCTCGGGCTTCTCTGGCACCAAGGCGCTTCTACCTCCAGTTTTTTCATACTAACCTAGAATCAGGATGAAAAGCTGAAGGGAAAGAAGGCTAATACAGAAGATTCTGATTTGTCTTATTCCACAACAGTTATAATACACTTATTATCTAAAAGGTAAACCTCACTTCATTTTCTGATGGATTCTTAGAGAATATCTCATCTTACTGTATTAAAACCTAACACTTCAGTCTACTGTCTTCTGCACCTACAGCTATTGTCACTCACAGCCTGAAGAAATTTCAAGTCACACTTAGTCAAGTATCACTGTATCACTGTCGAGGTAAACTTCCATTAGACAGAAGCTTTAAGACTAAGGGGAAAGACTTCAGCCATAATACCAGGCAGTTGGTGTTTGCTTCTAAAAGTAGTGCCTCAAAGATTAAACAGAAAAACAGGTGAGGTATGTAGATGAGGTAAACACTAATAAAAACAAGCTGTTCATAGAAATACAGACCTTAAAAGGGTGCATTCTTATGAATTTTTACCTCTTGATTTTCACTCTAAAGGAAAAATGAAGGTCCATGGAAAAACCTGGGTACAATGATGTTTATAAAAGCACTATATAATCATTAAAAACTGGAAACTACCTATATTTCAAAAAATAGACCACTGAATAATAAATCACACAATCACAAAATGGGACACTGTGCTGCTCTTAAAAAACTACATTAACAAAATTTAGGAAGAAATAATAGCATTCTCACTGCCCAGGTCTTTCTTTCTATTAAGTACTAATTCCTTTAAAAATTTTTTTTTAAAAAGGTATATTCCAGGTCTGATATATCCTACTGTGCAGAAAGCAAGGAAAGACACAATGACTAACAAGAGCATATTAAAAAGATACAAGAACCAAGGGTTCCACTGGCTAAATTCACAAGTTGAATAGCAAGAAGATGACTTTAACTGCCTACTGGACAGCTATCCTATGACCATGCATGGTCAGTCGTTTCAGTTGTGTCCAATTCTTTGCAACCCTATGGACCATAGGCCACCAGGCTCCTCTGTCCATGGGATTCTCCAGGTAAGAATACTGGAGTGAGCTGCCATGCCTTCCTCCAGGGGATCTTCCCAACCCAGAGAATGAACCCATGTCCTCTTGCACTACAGGTGGAATTTTTACCTCTGAGCCACAGGGGAAGCCCTAAGGATCCTCAAAAGGAAAGAAACGGGGTGAAAAAATTTCTGTACCATAAATGTACAACAGAATTAGAAAATGACCATTTTGTAAACCCCAATGTAATAACTGATTCAAACTAGGGCTATCAGTGGATATTAACACCATTAGGTTAGATTACTGGGGAACAGACTATTTGAAAGGTGCCAAAGTATCACCCGACAGGTTTTACTTAACTAATCACAAAGGGGGCAAGACATACCTTTACAACATTGAGATCTAATGGCCATCTCCTTAGAACAAAGCTTGGCATTGCTAGTAATGCAACTCTATTATATGCCTCACATGCCATGCCTTGGCATGTGAAGTGCCCTATATGAAGTGCCCTATATTCCCTAAAAAGTATTCTTAATGAAAAAAAAAGTTTCAGATGTTTTTCAAGAGCCCCAGTATTACTATAAACTGAGCAAAGTTAATTGTCCAAGAGCAAAATGAAAATTAAATATTTAACCTGAGTCTAATGAAGCCTCTGCATAGGGATTCTAAGCCTTTCTCAATGTATGGATCCCTTAAGCAGTCTAGTGAATCTTATAGACTAATGTTGTTCGGTAGAAATATAATAAAAGCCACCTATGCAATTTAAATTTTTCTAGTAGCCACATTAAAAAGTAGAGAGAAACTGATGAATTAATTTCAATAATATTTATTTAACACAGTATATCCAGAATATTATCATCTCATCATGTAACTGATTTTTTAAAATTACTGATTACATAAGATGGTTTACAAAGTACTAAGTGCTGGAAATCTAGGATGTGTTTTACACTTAAGGCATATTTACATTCAGACAAGTCACATTTCCAGTGCTCAGTAGCCACATGAGGATAGTGGCTTCAGTACTGCACAGTGCAGCTACAGACGCTTTCTCAGAATTTTTTTTTAATGCATGAAATACAATTCAAAGGATTCCAAAGGAAACATATATGTTGAGATTTAGCTATCAAAAGCAACATATATGCTCTTTATTAACATACTAAATAAGATGTCAAGAATTCTGATAACTACTTCAAAGTAATAATGAACACACTTTCTCAAGATAGATTACAATTGCTTCATGTATGAAAAGCACTGAGATTCCTACTGTTGGGACAAAGTTATAGGTTCAACTGAAGTTGGAGTTTGTTTTCTATTGTTAATGATAAATTCCTATTAATAATAACGAAGACAAAACTTTTCCAATCCATATTCAGTGCAGGTTAAAAAACCCTAACCTGAACTGAATTTCATAGAAGGGATACAGATGCATGTCAAATACCACAAGGGAACAGACAATTGGAATATAAGGCATTCTTATAAAACATTCTTATAAGACAAAAAGTCAATATGGGGGTATGGGACGTAATTTAGACAAAAAGACAGGAGACAAAAGAATCTAATGCAATACACATATTTCATTTGGATCCTGGTTTGAAACAAAAAGCTATTAAGAAGACATTTGTAGGAAAACTGGTAAATTTTTATATTAAATATTATATTAACTGGAGAAGAAAATGGCAACCAACTCCAGTATTCTTGCCTGGAGAACCCCATGGACAGTATGAAAGGCATGCTTGGGGTCGCAAAGAGTTGGACACGACTTGGCGACTGAACAACAACAAAGAAATTATGGAATTACTGCTCAGTTTCATAGGTGTGATAATGAACTGCAGCTGTACAGAAAAGGACTATTTTTAGGAGATGCGTACTGAAATCTTTAGAAATCAAATGTCAGGGTGACTGCAACTTTCAAATTCAGCAAAAGTAAACATACACAGAGAGACCACGAATTATTTAAAAATATTCATAACTGCTAAATCTAAATGTAGATCATGTGGAGAGGTTGGGTACACCTGAAATTTCTCATCTTAAAAAAGAAGAAAATGTTGTAGAGGTTAATGAGAAAATGTTCAAAATACATACTACTGAAGACAGAAAGCAGATTTCAAAAACCATATGAAGTATAACTGCAGTGGGATATATAAACCAAACATTAACAATGATGTTACACCTTAAGATTGCGGGATTACGAGCAGTGTTAACTTTCTTTTTTCACAACTGTATTCTCTGATTTTATAAAATTATAGGTATTTAGAAAGTTGCAAAAAAAAAAGAAAGCTGCTTTTGTAATGAAAGAAACAGAATCTTTATTTTACAAGGTGCAAAGAGGACAATACAATCAAAAGGCATGCTTGATCATTACTCAACCACTTTGAACTTGTTTCCTCTTTTATAAAATAAGGCTATCATTTACTTTAAAAAAAAAAAAGACCATCACTATCTTTAGAGGGCTTGTGTGAAAATTAAACAGACTAAGATCCACTGAATAAAATGAATCCATGATAACACCAACAAAGAAGGAAAAGTTCTTCCATAATAGGAAATCAGATAACATATAGAGAAGGAGTAACACATATAGAAAAATCACCATTTAAGAAACTTCACAATATATTCAGGCAAGAATTAGCAAAGAATGCTAAAGCAAACAGGTGAAAAGTTTACTAAGAAACTGAATATTCAACCCAGTGCTCTGTGCCAACCTAGAGGGGTGGGATTGGGGGGAGAGGGTAGTTCAAGAGTAAAGGGATATATGTATACTTATGACTGATCCACACTGTTGTTGTACAGCAGAAACCAATACAACATTGTAAAGTGATTATCTTCCAATTAAAAATAAATTTAAATAAAAAGGAAACTGAGTATTTACATAGTCTCATAATAACTCCCAAGAGATTACTGATTACCAAGAGGGGAAATAAAGTATTTAACTCTGCAGAGCAGAAACCTGGCAAACACCACCTTAGCCAAGTGACAAAAATTAACATCCCTAATAATGCGATAAATGGACATCATGTACTTCCTAATACAATGCAATGAGAAGGATACACCATTGCCTTCTGTGGTATTTCAAAGTTACATAACCCCAAACCCGTCACAAGGAAACATCAGACAAACTCAAAGTAATGGATATTCTATAAAGTAACTAGCTACAGTCTTCAAAAATGTCAAGGTAGGTAAAACAAAGAGGCTGAGAAATACTTCCAAATTAAAAGAGGCTAAAAAAAGACATGAAAACTAAATGCAGTCATTCTGGACTGAAAATTGCACTAGGAATAAGAAACAATTGAGACAACTGATATAATTTGATCAGGGATTCTGAAATAGATAATAAATAGTAATATATCGATGTTAAATTTTGAAAAATCCCATCATTGTATTGTAGCTATGTCCTTATTACACATAATGGGAATGATGTCTACACCTTACTCTCATATGGTTTAGAAAAAAAAATAATGCATTAAATATACAAAGAAGAATGAAAAATAGGAAGCAGAAGGAAAAATGGGAGGGAGAAGAGAGATAAGGAACAGAGGGAAACTGAATGGAAGAATGCGGGATAGGGAGAAGGAAGGGATGGAGAGGGAGCGGTAGCAGGAGAGAGAGAGGGGAAGCAGAGGGGAGGAGAAGGGAGAGAAGGGCGAGGAAGGAGAGGGAGGGAGAAAGACGTCCTGAAATGGCTGATGTAGCTGAGAACTGATTTTTTTTTAATTTTATTCCATTTTAATTAATGT